ATATGTATATATGTATGTATGTATGTATATATATATATACTTGTCTATTCCTAAAACGTAAACCTTTTTTTTTTTTGTTAGGTATTGTCTTGTAGGTTAGGTAGTTTTTTACTTTTTTTTTTTTTCTTTGGTCGCTTTTTTTTTATTTATTCCGTCTCTCTCTCTCTCTGTGTGTGTGTGTGTGTCTTACTCTGTCTTTTCTGCTGTATTCTGTCGCCTTTTTCCAGCTCCCCCCAACCCCCCACATCCCACTCCGCAGTGCCCGAGGTGTCGGGCGCGTGTGCGTGGGCGCAGGGATGCGGGAGAGGGTGGCGGTGGAAGCAGTGAGGCGGACGTGCACGGGACAAAATGCCGCTTCCGTGCACCGTTGGAGTGATGCAGTGGAGCCATTTACTCCCTCCCCCCTCCCCCTCCCCCTACGCAAAGAGTTTGGCGGCCGGTCCGCCAGTCCGCGTGCAGTGTGGGAGTGCGGCTGCTACTTCTCTCCCTGCCTGTGCGGGTGTATTTCTCTCCTTTGTTTTTTTTTTATGTCTGTCTGCCCCTGCCCACGCGCCCGCGCGCACGGTGAGCGAAGAAACGAGAGGTGCTCACGGTCTTTGCGCCCTTTCACTCGCAGGATTTTTTGAACGGTAGTTTTTTTTTTGTCGGCGTTGGTGTCGGCGTGTGCGTGTGTGTGTGTGCTTTTTTTTCCCCCCTTCCTGCTCGCCCAGGGCCAGCGCAATCGCCGTACGCGTCGAGGCTCAAGATTATTGATCGCCAGGCCAAGGCAGCGGAGCCCTCACAGCTTCTTCCCCCTCGTGGTTACTTGAAGGGGGTGGAGGGAAAAGGGTAAAAAAAAAACAAATCAGCTGCCTCTGCTTCCGAGTTTCATTCGTGTGGTTCATTTCGGGAGGGGAGCCAGTCATGTTCAGTGCACTGGCCCGACAGACGGCTGTGCTCCGCGCCGCCTACGTGCCCCTCGCAGCAGCCTACGCACCAGCGGCCACGTCCAGCCCATCGGCTGTGCTCGCCGCCGCGACCGGTGCCAACACTACGGCGATGGGAGGTGGTCATCCTGCGGCGGAGCCTGCGGGCCGACTCCCTGCCGCTGTCGTGAGTGGAGGAGGAGGTGGCGGTGGCGGTGGCGACACACTGCCGCTGGTGGGCGACCCCCGTGTGCATATTTGGCGGGATGAGGAGGCCTTGTTGCGGGCATCGCTGGGGCGCTTGGAAGCGGAGCGGGAGTTGGCGCGGATGCGGCACCGGTGCGAGGACGAGCTGCGGTCTCTGCGCGACGGCCTGAGGGTGCGGGAGGGGCAGGTAGCACGCCTTGTGCGTCGTGTCATCACGCGTGCGCCCGCAAAGAGGCGGCGTGGCTGCCAGGCAGCTGCCGGGTCTGACAACGGCGGCAGCAGTCCGCATACCGCCGTCACGGACGTGTGTGAGAAGCCGGGGGCGCTGCTGCCGCACGACCAGGCGGGCGCGGGGGAGAGCTGCGGCGTGGCGCCGCACGGCCGGCCGAGCAGGCGGGAGAAGGGCCATGGCGCCACCCTCGAGGAGGCGGAGGAGGGCGGCAACGACGAGGGCGAGGCGCCCAACGACGACGGCCAGCAGCTGCCCGGCACGCCGCCGGCAAACGGCGAGGACGCGGCCGCGGACGTGGGCGGCGACAACGCGACGCCGCCGCTGCCGCCGCTGCCGCCCGGCATGGAGCCGCAGACGTGGGGCGGGGCCGGCGGCGCCGGGACGAACCCCGCAGGGGAGGCGCAGCCGGCCGCCCCCACCGACGGGGGCCTCGCGAAGGACGCCCGGCAGCCGCGTGGAAGGCGGACGGGCGCGACGAAGAAGAGTGGCAGCGGCGGCACGAAGGGGACGGCGCCAAAAGAACGAAGCCCGGCGAAAAATACAAAGGCTTCCGCGAGGAAGCCGGCGAAGCCGCGCGCCCGCACGCAGCGGAGGACCGCCCCGCAGAAGGGCCGCGCCAGCACGAAGAAGGCGCAGCCGAAGCGGAAGGGGACAACTCGCCCTGCCGCACCGAAAAGGAGGGCCGCGGCGTCCAAGAAGCGGCCGCAGCAGCGAAAGCAACCGAATAAAACTAACAAGACGAAGCAAGGCAGCCGCAGCAAGAGCAGTGGGCGCGCAAAGAAGCCAACCTCCACGCGGCGGAGGAAGTAAGAAAATAAGAAAAAAAAGCAAGAACGAATGAAATTCCATGTGTCTGCCTGTGGTGCTTTTAGAGTTCACCGAAAGTGAGTCCTTTGGGTGGTTGATATGCGTCCATGCATGCGTGCCAACTGCAACAGTTATTGCACATTTCTGTAGATATACGCATGTGTGGATGTATACAGCCTGTCTACGTGTGTATATATACATGTATGTATATATGTATTTAAACTTATATCTTTCCCCTCTTGTATCTTTTATTCCTTGGGTGGTGAGGTGCGTAGAATAGATTGCCTGAGCGAGAGCGGGAAAAGTGGGGAAGGGTAAAGCGAAGGACGGGGGTGGGTGGGATGGTAAATGGCGGGAAAAATAGCTGGTCCTTCGCTGGCCTTTTTTCATCTGTTTTGTTTCTTTCTTCAAGTCCCCACCCTCTTTTCTGCTTTTCTGTTTGTAGAGTTATTGGAGTATTTTTAGAACGTCGCTTCTGTGGGTGTACGAGGACGGGGTACTGCGCCTGTGGAGCAGCTTCCATGCAAATGTGTATGCGCACCCCCCGCATGCATGCCTCTGCGGCATGCAAAAAAAGTACCTGATGTCTGCGTATCATGTACGTAGTGTGTGTGTGTGTGTGCGTGCGTCTTCTCCCACTCTTCATACTATCTCCGTGTTATCAAGCACGGAGTACTATCAGTCATCACAGGGCGAGATGCGCAGAATGGGTCGTGGCTGTCTGCCCATTGCAAGGGTTCAGGTGCGCGTGTCTCTTGGTTCCCTTCTCCCCTTCTCTCGCGTCACATTTATGACTGTATTCACCTGTACGTTGTCTTCTTGTTTGTTTGTTTTATCTACTTTTTTTTTTCTTGCCTCTCTGCTTCTTTGCCTCTTCCCTCTTCCCCACGCGTTGCCACTGCGTGCGTGTGCGTTCCTTCTGCATCGTTTGAAACCTCGCACTCGACTATCTTTTTCTCTTTGCTGCTTTCTCTCTCCTTCTCTCCGTGTGCGTGTCTTTGTCCATCCCACACCATTTTTTTTTATATGATGTGCTCGTGTGCAGCTTTGGAGGGGGTTCGCTGGGCGGCACGTTGAGAGCGGCGTGGGGCACCCACAGCACACGCAGGCGCACGTAAATATATATACATATATACTGCAGGGGCCATACACGTTCTACACGCCTGGTTGCGTTTATTTATTGAATGGCGGAAGACGCGACGGCGCCGTTGCAGCGGATCCGCGTGCACGATGCGGCGTTGTACACTGACCTCATGAATGCCGCGGACTGGAGCCGCGTGGTGGAGCGCGAGCGCGAGCGCGAGCGTCTTGCGGCCCGTCGCCAACACGAGGCAGAGGAGTGGCAGCTGCAGGAGCAGATGCGGTTAGAGGAGGCGCGGCTGCAGGCAGCGCGGGACACGGCGGCTGCGGAGGCGCGGCGCCAGCGACAGGCCCGCGAGGACACGCAGGAGCAGGAGCATGCGGAATTCACGCGCCGGCTCAACGCATTCATGCAGAACCACAAGGAGCTCACCGCTCTTTGTGCGTGGCAGGAGTTCCGTGACGGCACGCACGCGCGGCGCGCTGTGGAGAACCGGCAACGCGCCTGGGAGGCGGAGGTGATAAGGCCGGTGCAGGAGTTCATTGACGCCCAGCTGGAGGACGTGTGCGGGGAGCGGCGGCGGGCGCAGCTGCGGCAGCAAATGATGGCCGCGTTCCTCGAGGAGTGCAACCGCAGCGATCGCCTTGGCGGCCCCCACGCTGTCTACCGCGACCTCGTGGACGAGGCGCGGTACGACCCCCTGCAGCAGCTGCGGGCCTGCACCATCCGCTACCCCGCGCCCAGCCGGAGAGAGACGGACGTCGACGCACGGCGGCGGGAGGCGCGTGGGGTGCAGCGGAGGTACGCCCAGCTGGCACTCGACTACCGCGCCCTGCTGCGGGAGTCCGCCACGGGCGTCTTGTCGGACCCACCTCCGCCGGCAGCGACGCTCCCAGCCCGCGCCGGCGCCCCCGATGCGCCGCTGCCGTCGTCGTCGTCGTCGTCGTCGTCGTCGATTAACGACCCCCTGCAAGTGCCGCGGGCTGCGACGAGCACCGCGGGCGACGCCGCGCCGTCGAAGGGGGGGCCGACGGAGAGCCACTGCGACGCCGCCACGACCCGGACGGCGCGAACGACGGTGATGCCCCCGCTGCATCAGCCGCCGTCGCCGCAGGACCGTCGCCACCTGCACTACGGCGTCGACGTGAATGTGCCCGATGCCCTTGCGGAGTGGATGGCGGAGCGACGTGCGCCGCGGACGCGCGAGGACGACCTCCCCGTGACGGACTGGGCCCGCTTCCCTGAGACGCTGCTAGGCTGGATGGCAACCGCCGACGGCGACCTCAAGCCGTGTGTCCAGCGCCGCATCGACGCCGCAAGGCGGGCGCAGCACTCGGATGTTATGTTCGACCACTACGATTTCCCGCGCGGGCTGGAGGGGCCGCTTCACACGGGCAAACGTGTGGTGTGAAGCCCCCTCCTCGTTTTTGCCTCCGCGTGCGTGTGCAGGAACGCGTGCAAGCAGCGTTGTTGCGGGCGGGCGACATGCGCGTCTCGTTCCACCACCACCACCCTCTTTCTCTTTCCCTTCTGCCGCTGCGTGCAGCGAGGCACCAAAAAAAATTGGAACAAAGAAGGTGAAGTGATGTAAAGCTTTCTCTTGTGATATTCATAAATGTGTGTTGGCCTGTGTGTGTCTGTATGTATGTGCGTTGCAGGGGGCTGACGGTGTTTGTTAAATGCGGGGCGCCTTCCATTGCGCCGCCGCCGCCGCCGCTGCCGCTGCCCCAGGCGATGCGACGGCCACGGCGACACAACGCGCACGCGTGCATGCCGCTTTCTTCCCGCTTCTCCGACGGAAGGCGGGCGCTGGTGGAGGGTGGTGGGGACGAAGCCACGGAGGACAAAAGGGGAGCGCGGGAGGAGAGGTAGAGGGCGAAAAAAGGCAAAAAGAAAAAGGAAAAGAAAAGAACACAACAAGAAAAGGAATAGTAAAAAAAAACAGAAGCGGCTGATGAACTCATACGCCCGTCTGTTCTGCGGGGAGCAGGCCGGTCAGTCGTGGATCGGGTGGAGGCGGCTGCGCGACAAGCAGGTGTTCTTCGGCAGCCTCCTCGCTGCCGCCTCCATCTACGCCGCGGTGTACTACTCGGAGGAGAGCGAGCGGCAGCGGCGGCACACGTCCATTGAGGAGGACATCGAGCGGGAACGCTGGCGGGCGAAGGAGTTGGGCCTCGGCGAACCGCGCGACGACGGCTTTGCGGACGCCTACCTGCAGAAGATGCACCACAAGCGCTGACGCGCCGCCGCGTGCGCGGGGAGTGCAGATGCCGGCAGTGTGGCTGCGCCCGGGCTGGAGGGTCTCGGTAGGCACCCAACAAAAGGCAGGAAACAAAACTGGGGAGGGGGAGGCCGCTTCCATTTTTGTTTTTCCTTTGTTTCTTTGGGTTTGGTTGTGGTTGTTTCCCTGGGTTGCGTAGAAAACAACAACAACCACAACAAACACAGCGACAAGAACAAAAAGAAGCGAGCAACGGCAGCGGCCATGGGTGGGTGGGGGCAGCGCGTTGCTGTGCGTGTGTGTGTTTGTATCCTCGTTAGCCACGGGGCGGCGGAATGCCTCGGGTCTTCTTTCGTGTCGCCGCCGCTCCTGCTGCCGCCTGTTCCTTT